GGTGTAACATGTAATGAAATGATCGGTCCCTGCACCAAAACTCCCCCCCACTTTGGAACCTAGCCAGGGATTTTTTCCCCCGGCCACATCAGCCTTAGCGGCTGTTGGCTTGTAGTTCTCAATGAACTACCATGGCGCTGTGAGAACTGTGGTAATTCATTGATTCTTCCTGTCAGTTAGTATAGGCTTGCCCGTACGAGGTACAAGCAAGCAGATACACTGACAGGTCTGTAGGAGTCCTGCATGGCATCAGCAATTTTGTGATAGCTGGTGCAATGCCTTCCAGGCTTCTACAACAAAAAATAATAAATGCATATTTGTTTACCTGCAAAAAAGTGTGCATTTATTGCTTTTTGTTGAAAGGTTAACTTATTCTGTAAACAAGACCTGACTATACTTTTTGTGCTAGACTGGTAATTGGCTCGGTTTTAGCTGATGTGTATGGGGCCCTAAAACAGGCAGTTAAAATAGAAAATTTAAAACGTCACAGAAAGGAAGGTAATAAGGACAGGAACAGGAGGAAAAAAAACACCTAATAATGCATCTCCTATTCCGCAGCAGCCATGTAAATAGCCGCAAAAGAGCAATTAGATTTAACGCTGTAGACTTCCCATCCAATTTTCTTATTCAGACTTTATTGATAGGTGTATCTGCTCTCACTCACAGTGGATGCCATCCTATGACATTTGATGTACTTGAAACCTCAGCAGTATTAAGTGATGGGCAGATGGTTCTCCAGGTACGCGTTACAAGTGGCGTTCTGAGAGCACTCCAGACTCGCTGGCTGTTTTTACAACTGCTTGATGATTGAGAAACTATGTTTATGATTCATGCTTAGGATAGTCATTTGTATGTCCAAAGTGGAAAAGTGCAGAATCGTATTTAACCATTTCACATACGCATGCAAGCTTATCCGATGCAGCAGCGAAAAACAAAATGATATGCCAAGAGTACCAACTCACAGCAACCAATATTCAGTTACTTTAGTCAGATGTTGATGGTTTACTGTGGGTTTACAGCATTGGTCAGATCACTTTTTTGTGGTTACACTTAAAAACATTTAAGAGAACCTGGTCTCCATTTATTAATTCTTTTTTTTCTACAAGGGGCGTTCAAGTCAAACCGGGACTTTTAATTTTACAGGTATAATAAGGGATGCTAGTGTGGTGGTACTACATGCAGTAGTAAGTGGCAAGTGTGTCCTATTACTGCTAAGTGGTGCATGGGCCAGTCCAAAATCAAGATGGCAGACAACAGTGTTAGTACATGCATGGAACAGCGTATGGTGATGTAGTTTCCTGTGAACAAAGGCGTAAAACCCACTGATATCTACAGAAGACTACAAAGTACAGAGCGGTGATGAGATGCTCAGCCGCAGTAGGACATCTGAATGCTGTAAACATTTCAAAGATGGCCGTACATCCATCAGTGATGATCCCAGCTGTAGTGGTTCCCAGCCTACAGCAGTCATTCCTGTGAACATTCTAGCGTTGAAAGCTTGATCCTGGATAATCAACACATAACCTGACGTGAAACTGTACAAGAGACAAATCGTTCTGTGGGAACGGTGAACACAATGATGACGAAGTGAATCAGGCTGTCCTAGGATGGTTCAGGCATAGAGACACATCTTTCTATGCTGAAGGTTTCCAGGTATTAGTTAAACGCTGAGATTAGTGTATAACTATAGAAGGGGAGTATGCTGAAAAATAAATGCAGTTTCCACTCCTTGAAATGCGTTTTTAGTATATAAACTCAAAAGTCCTGGTTTCACATGAACGCCCCTTGTATTAGGCTCCATGCACTATTTTTTTTTATTTTGATCAAAAAAAGTCCAAAAATGCTGGGTTGCCATGATTTACCAAGTTTTTCAGTGTTAGAGTGTTTTTACAGCTAAAAATCTCCTTTAGAAACCCACTAGTTCTGGGGTCTTTTTTTTTCTATCCAAAAAATGCCTCTGCCAGAAAACATTGATTACAGTGTATATGTGCATGAACACATAGGGTAACATGCTATACAAATGTCAACTGGATCAGCCCGACAGTCAAGTTGGTGCCATTTTCTCTCTTCATTTTCCCTATCTTCTAAACCAGTGTTTCTCAACCTTTTTTCAGTCAAGGCACCCTTTAATATTATTAACAGTCTCAAGGCACCCCATTCTAAAATGTAAAAAACTATTCTAATAGCTTTAAATAACGCAGCGACATCCACACACGTAGGACACCCAACATTATTTATTCTTCCAAAGCAAATACACTTTTTCATGCTGGTACTGACTTGTATTCCAATGTTTCTCTTCTCCCTCAGTTTTTCTCCATCACTCAGCTAATGTGACCCCAGCACTGGCTTAGATGGACATAGGAGGGTCAAACAAGGATGGTGTGCAGGCAACCAACATCCTCCTTATCAACTGATGTCATCATTGGTTGTTAGGACACCGGCAGCTAGAAGGTCGTAATGGTGCACAATGAAAGCCTCTGGCTTTGTGTAATTAAAACGCAGGCTTGTTCCACCTGTAGGCTTGTATACAAATTTTGGGCAATTTTTAGACATCTTGCCAAGGCACCCCTAAAGAAACCTCAAGGCACCCCAGACCTGGTTGAAAAAGGCTGTTCTAAACCTATAAAATCAGAGATGACCTCACCATTACCCTACAAATGCCCACCTTCTTGAACCTATGGTCAAATTGAATACACTATGTGGTTTGCTACAGTCCCCACATCTCCTATTATACATAATCCTTTATGCACCACATTCAAAGTAATTTAATACCGAGTTACACATTACTGTTAATAAGGGCTAGACAAGAGAACAATGCAAACACTAGGCATCAATTTTTTGATAGCTACAGTGACAGAACCACGCTGTTCCTGTTAAACAAAAGCCATGTGAAACGAACAATCACTTGATACAATAGATCTGTTACAATACTTCTGTTCTTACCGAAGCAAGCAATGTTCCCTTCCATACCGATGTACTTCAAGTCGTACTTCGCCGCCTCACTCTCAATGGGATCCGTTTCCGACGTGTCATCCATTGCAAAAATCTCCTTTTGTCTGAATTCTGCATTGTCGTCAAAGTTAATTTTTGCATCAAAGCACACAACTGCAGCGATAGGAAGACAGAGGAGAGGAAAATGCTTTTCAGAAAAGAATTAAAATAGAAAAAAGTTAACCAATATCAATTTAATGTACTTTAGTCTTTTGCAAAGGAAATACAAAGATATAAAACAAATCTCATGTGCTGTACTGACATAAACATCTATTATCCGAGGAACAAAAACTGGTGGGTGAACTTTAATAAAATTAATTAAAACAAAGACATTTCTTCCTATTGTTTTAATGCTTCATTATTTTGAGACGCTAATTAGGTTTACAGGAAAAGAAAAACAAAATGATAAATGAGATTGTAAGATTTATTGAAAAGAATAAAGAACTTCATGATAAGGTTCGAAGCGCTTAGTAACATAGTAAAGAAAGACCATGAAAGTGGGACAATTTGTTCTTTCTAAAAAGACAGGGAAGATGTCTGCATAGAAAGATGGAAATATGGTAGTTGCCATTTTTGACTTGCTGAAGTGCTCCGTCAAATTAAACAGAAATTGTCACTTGAAGAATCTTTAGAATCCAACACACCTGGGAGCAAAAAGCTATATACCTGGGTCACTTTTTTTGTGGGCACACTGTTTGGAATATAAAGTTGCTCCACAAAAGCTTTCAGTCTGCATTAAGATGTAGTCTAAGACAAAACCCTGATTTTCTGATATTTGACAAACTAACCGTTATTCTCATTGTGTTAGTATTTAACTGCAGCCCTTCCCCAGTCAATAAAATGTATATGAATTATTTTGGGATTTGTGGTTCTGCAAAGGCCAAATCAGTAGCCCTCTTAGCACACTTATATTGCGTTGGGTGATGCGTCAAGGTGTGTTGGCTGCTTGCATTCATTTCCTATGCTATTCTCAATGCATATCCATTCACCAAGAAACACACATGACCCCTCCTCCCCCAAAGACACTGCTATGCGTGTGCACTTAGGGTCAGGTGTATCATAATAGCAGCTTGTAAATAAACAGACACACCCCAAGACACATGCATAAGTCTAGTGCAAATCCACAAATTTAAATGCAACCTTAAAGCAGCATTAAGCCCAAAAAGCAAACATTTTATATTGCAGTTTACCAATTCTTAGATGTGAAGGCTGCATTAGTTTTAATTTTTTAGGCTTTTTTATTCTATTTTAATCTGGAGATTTGGCCAGTGAGTCTTTTTCAAAGACTTGAAGTTTTTTCAAAGGAACAAGCTGTTCTGCAGATATATAGATTTAGGGGGATGAGACAACCATTTACCACTGATATGAGTGCTTAAAATAATCAGCTTTTATGTAAAACCTTTATCCTAAAAGAAAAAATAAACTGTTTGCTTCTTCTAAAATATTAGCTGGAGGTTTGCTTCAATTTGTTAATTTATTTAAGTCTGCAAGTACATTTAACACTACCCTTACCCCCAGACTGACTATACTGCTGTCTGCCGTGCTTCCCATGCTCCTTCATCCAAAGTGGGGGCACTCTTATACAGGAGATGTGTTGCTAGCCAGATCACCAGATGAAAACAGAAAAAAGCCTAAAAAAAGAAAACTGATGCAGTCAACACAATCTAATGATTGCTAAGCTGCAATACAGTATATTACATTTTTGGTTTGGATTTAATACCGCCTTAAAGTGGGTATGGATCTGAGAGATCAGTGTCTTCAATTTTGATTTGTGTGTTGCTATGGCTATTTTAGTAATTTTTAATTTTGAATTTATAATCACAGTGGCTCACAAGTAAATATTTATACATTTGGTACCTCACGTGTGTGGTTTGAACACTGTTTACATATGTGGGCATGGCCTACGTGCAATCATGGGGGACGGGGGCACTTTAACCACCTCCCGCCCGCCATATAGTAATAGGTGGTTCTCTTGTTCTGACAGGACGTCATATGATGTCCTCCCAATTGTCACTGCGCATGCACGACTCGAGGAGCCTTGGACACAGCAGATCACTGATCACGGAAAGAGCCGAAGATGTCGGCTCGATCATGTGATCAGCTGTGTCCAATCACAGCTGATCACATGTAAATAGGGAAATGCAAGTTATCAGCATTTCTCTCCTCTCGAGCTGTCACGCTGGCAGCTCGAGAGGAGAGGAGAGCCGGTAATCGGCTTTCCGCGGAGGGGACATGTACACTGATCATCATGGCACAGATGATCAGTGTGCCCTGATGATCAGTGTAGCCCCAGCAGTGCCACCTGTCAGTGTCCATCAGTGCCTTACGTCAGTGCTCATCAGTGTCTCATGCCAGTGCCCATCACTGCCACATATCAGTGCCTACCAGTGCACATCAATGCCACATATCAGTGCCCATCTGAGCTGCCTTTCAGTGTCACCCATCAGTGCCACCTATCAATGCCAATCAGTGCCACCTATCAGTGCTGCCAATCAGTGCCACCTATCAGTGCCACCTATCAGTGCCAGTCAGTGCCGCCTATCAGTGCTAGTCAGTGCTGCCTATCAGTGCCATATATCAGTACCATGTATGAGTGCTGCCTTTCAGTGTCCATCAGTGATGCCTGTCAGTGCCCATCAGTGCCGCCTACCAGTGCCTCCTCATCAGTGTTCATCAGTGCAGCCTCATTAGCGCACATCAGTGAAGGAGAAAAATCACTTATTTACAAAATTTTATAACAACTAAGAAAAAAACATTTTTTTTCAATATTTTCAGTGGTTTTTGGTTTGTTTAAGATAAAATAAAAAACCCAGAGGTGATTAAATACAACCAAAATAAAGCTCTATCTGTCACAAAAAAAATTATAAAAATTTCATATGGGTACAGTGTTGTTTGACCGTGCAATTGTCATTCAAAGTGCAACAGCGCTGGAAGCTGGAAATTGGCCTGGGCAGGAAGGGGGTATAAGTCCCTGTAGGCTAGCGGTTAAACTTAAATTTATTTAATGTTTTTTTTGTTTTGTTTTTTGCACTGTCCCTTTAAAAAAAATGTAATCACTTTTATTCTTATCACAAGGAATGCATGCATCCCTTGTGCTAGAAATAATGTGACAGATCCTCTTTATGGAGAGATATGGGGTCAATAAGACCCCACATCTCTCCTCTGCAATGTAAAGCATTAGATCAAAAAAGCATTGATCTAGTGCTTTAAAAAAAAAAAAAAATGGCCGGAACGGAAAGTGATATCTCTTCAGTCCTCCAAGGGAATAGAGATGAATGAAAGCCATGTTTACTTCACTAATCTCTATGCCCAGTGCCGGGTTCAATCGGTGGTTTCTCAGGCAAAGCTGAGAGCTACCGAGCAGCGGTCGGCGGGAAGTGGTGAGGGGCAGCGTTTTTTCGGCACCTGTATCGGTGCTCTGCTCTTCTTCTTCATATCGGCCGACGGCCGAAAGGGGTGTTTACGGCCTAAACGTTTCGGCCACCAAAATTTCAGTGCATCCCTAGTAAATAGTGTGTATGTACATAATTTTTGTTTACTAAGACACATTAATACACTACAGAGGGTTTTTATTATTCCTTGCTTTACTGCAATTTGATTGTCATTAGGTGGAAAAAAAGATTGAGATCCCTACAAAACACTGCTCAAAGCTCAAGCAAATAACTGCATTACATCAAGCCAGCATTATATATGGTTATAAATGTAAAAGGTTGGGCCTCTCCCAATATAGCTCAATAGGAATGCAAAAGCAACATGAAACCAGTTGATGCAGCTTAGAAGGTGGTCAACTGCAGGACAAAAAGTACCTGTCAATGAGTGCTGAATGATTTCACAAACTATCTCAACCTGATGTCAAATGCCAGCAAATTCACCTGAGAACAAGCTGCATTTGCAGCTAACCCAAGCACAGTTGCCAGTCTCCAAAACCTGTAAAAATACCAAGTAGTGTATATCCGTCTTCCAGGATATTCTGGTAACTGGTGAATAAGAGGTTGTGAAGCTCAAAATGCAAAAAGTTTATTTTCGTTTACTGTGTATAAAATGGTAGAATCTTGTAACTTTGGAGTTAAAGAAAGCGCACAGACATACACACACACGGTTCCCCATGATTGATTGGAAATTGCCTCTAAAACTCTGCAGTTTACAGATATCTGTATTATGGGATTAGGCAAATGGATTCCACATACTGCTTACAATATGGAAGTTTAATAGAGCAATATTTCCCGATAACAGAATAATGCAATGTTGCGCCTCACCAAACCGTTCTAGACAGCTCGAGATTAACCCATTATTTAATCCCAATAAGTAAACAACTTAATCAAGGCCGAGACGAGTTACTTAACTTTAATTGGCTTTTTTTCATTATTATTATACCATTAAACACTGCGAATCCCTGAATAATATTGCTAGGAACAGATGGGAACTATCTTACACATAGTGGTATATAAAACTGTTAAGTTAAATCAGATTTGACCATCTTAGATTCGATGGACAGCTAAAGGTTTTTAAAATGCAATTGAGATGTATGAAAAGTTGTGGAGGTTTAAAAGGAACACACCATAGAATTTTTAATGTTCATTCTCTAATCAATGATTTGTCAGATGAGAAAAAAAAAACCCTTGCATCAGGTAAAGCAGAATGTACAGTAAAAATGGCAGTCAGTTCTTCCAACACATTTAATGGTCAAATGACCACAACAGAATAATTGGTTGTTTAGATGTGACAACCTCAATGTCAGCCCTGTCACCTGAACACGTAGGACACAATAAAAATTAATATATGCAATACATCTCTGTAATATAAGCACACTTTCCCATGCTTTACCCTTTAAAAAGCAATAAAAACCTAAACATGATTGTTGTTGCTCTGCCAGAAATCCTGTGTGCTCTTAACTTCAGGCTTATGGGGGGGGGGGGGGGAACAACTGTCATTTACTTATTTCAAGTACTTATATAGCACCGTCAGTTTACGCAGCACTTTACATATATATTGTACTTTCACATCAGTCCCTAACCCTCAAGGGACATACAATCTAAGGTCCCTAACTTACATTCATATATACACATACAAGGGCCAATTTAGACATGAGCTAATTCACCTACCAGCATGTCTTTGGAGTGTGGGAGGAAACCGGAGTACTCAGAAGAAACCCACCCAGGCACAGGGAGACCATGCAAAGTCCAGGCAGGAGGTGCCATGTCTGGAATTCGAACCAACAACCCTAGTACTGCCAGGCGGAAGTGCTAACCATTTAGCCACTGTGCTGCCGCATTGGACAAGGTGTCCATTCCTGTCCTATGACAATACATCCCAGGGAGTTTTTGTATCTTAAACGTTAGATGGTAGCCAGATGACCTTATAAAAAAAAATACACTTAAAAAAAAAAAATCAGGCCAGATTCACTCTTGCCCAATATCTGGTAATGTGCATCATATCCCCTTCACAAAAAATATATAAAGCTTTGATACAATAAACATGACGTAAGCTGAAACTAGTGAGACATGGTGTGGATTTTAAAAACTGTACATAAATTGTACATACTGCGGTGTGACAAACCCACCAAGTGCTTTAATGTGCACAGAAGTGAAAAAAAACACAATAAAGCATCCATCAAGTGCTTTTCTGCCAATTAATGCATTGTTATTTTTTGAAAAGGAAGAAAAAAAAAACTAAAAAAAAAGAACAAGAAACAAGCTTTGACATATGTATACAGCCAGCTGAAAATGCTAAAAAGCAGGCCTTATAGTATATTCAGTCCTTTCATTGTCTTCATGAACAATGGTCATTTTAACTTCTGTATACCTTTTTCACAATGTCAAATGTAAATGGGTCTGAACCAGGTAAAAAAAGTGGACCTCAATAAAGCAATGAGACTTTGCATAGCTCATAGGTGTTGATCAGTGTGATATACAGTATACCTGTGGAGGTAATGAACTTAGATGCATGTTATGTGAGGATGCCAAGAATTGAGTTTTTGTGACACTTGACTTATAACTCCTTTCATCAGAAGAAAATTAGAACACTTACCTGAAAAGGAGAAATTTGCGAATGTTAAAAAATATAAATAAACATACATGCTTACCTACTTGTTGCAGCATTAGACGCATACTGCAGCTGTCCCTGCCAGCTCTAAAACCGAGAACTGAGCTATCGCATGACCGATGATTGCGCAGTTCTTGGGTGCACTGTGAGCAGAGAGCAGTGGCTGTCAATCACTGCACTCTAAAAGTATATATTGAGCGCTTAATCCATAAGCAGCTATGCACTCAAAGCAACCAATATATGCAATAAATCAAATGATAAAAACTAGCGCAGCGCTAAAAATGAAATATTAGATCAGATAAATTCAGAAAAACGTCCATAAAGTCTATGAATAGTGGCTGGTGAATATAATGGATAATGGTGGTGCTCCGTAGGAAATGATAAAAATGCGTACTCACCAGAAATAAAATGAATAAGAGCGTTATATAAAATTCCTCATCAGAGGTCTGGTCACCTTGGGCAATCCTCTCTTCTGCGTGATGATAGGACTCAGTAAAGATGAATAAGATCCAGGTAACCAGAGGTTTCCTCAAAGGGGCTGGCTTCAAGGAACTGCCAGGGGATCTTCCACCTCTTTGGAATGATGCCTGGATCCTGGCACAGGGTTTCTGAAAATAAGTACTCCTCTCAAGGAGTCAGGGAAGGATGCCCATAGTGTAGTATGGTTAACAGTAACATTTTATTAGACAAGCAAAGGTATCCAAATCGCGATAGGTAAAATATTCATCCAGGTATAGTGTGAACTAACCCTGAGGATATTAAAGATGGCCGCCGGGCCTCCACGTAGCTCCGACAGTGTAGCATCATGACGTCCGGGCTCCTCCTTATGCGTTACGTGCGCACGCACATCAGAGGAATGGATTTGGATACCTTTGCTTGTCTAATAAAATTTTACGGTTAACCATACTACACTATGGGCGTCCTTCCCTGACTCCTTGAGAGGAGTACTTATTTTCAGAAACCCTGTGCCAGGATCCAGGCATCATTCCAAAGAGTTGGAAGATCCCCTGTTAACAGGCAGTTCCTTCCAGCCAGCCCCTTTGAGGGAAACCTCTGGTTACCTGGATCTTATTCATCTTTACCGAGTCCTATCATCACGCAGAAGAGAGGATTGCCCAAGGTGACCAGACCTCTGATGAGGAATTTTATATAACGCTCTTATTCATTTTATTTCTGGTGAGTGCGCATTTTTATCATTTCCCACGGAGCACCACCATTATCCATTATATTCACCAGCCACTATTCATACACTTTATGGATGTTTTTCTGAATTTATCTGATCTAATATTTCATTTTTAGCGCTGCACTAGTTTTTAATCACTGCACTCTGCCCTGCCCCTCCAATGCTCACTAGACAGCCAAGCAGGAGAGGGGCAGGAGCAGCTGGCTCCGGTTTTCAGCAGCATGCTCAGAGGCTGAGCCAACTGCCTGTAAGGTATCTGGGTGGATCCCGACATTATTGTTGGGATCCCTCCAGAGTCTGCAGCACAATTGCACTCCTGCGACCCACAAGAGAAGCATGGCCAAAAGAGCTTTGGCCATACTTCTCTGTGAACTTGGCCTTGCATGCATATGCATAGGAAAAGTCTGACTGAAGGTCATCAATAGACGTACCAATGCTGTATCCAGTCTATAAAAAGCCTCTAGATTTCTTCTTTTGGAGTTGCAAACAGGCATTTTCCTTGGGAAATTGTCATGCCAAATGTTTAAAAGAAATGTATTTTACCTCTTTTTTTTTTTTTTTGGTAAAT